TTGAAAGCAAAGTAGATGCATCTCAAGTGTAAAATGGCATAACATTCGGTTCACAAACAATTAAACCATCATCCGCAAAAAATAGGGGAAAAACTTCTCCATCTTTTCCTCCCCAATCCCAACCTCCACTCCTCAACAAATTTAACTCTTCTTGTCTCTCCATTAATCTACTAAACACCTCCATAATGGTAAGGAGAAGTAGTGGTGACAAAAGGACCCATTGGAGGCCTTTAGATCATACACTTCTGTATTTGGAACAAGTTATATTAATTATATTCCAACGATTACTCTATCTCCAGTCCTTCATGTGATTAGTTTTTATGACAGTCTCTTTTCCATTAGTACAATCAGTAAAGATCTCAACTGTAAAACTGAATTTTTTTTTTAACTATTATGTCCTTCAGGATCTTCAAATAAAAAAAACGATTGACACTGGTAGACGGCAAGATGGTTTATACGTCTTGAATAGAAGTCAAAACATAATTAGGATTCAAGTTGCCTTTGCAAATATGGATGTCAATTAGGAAATTTTACAGTTGCATCAACGGTTGGAACATCTTTATTTATTTGCTCTAGAAAAATTGTATCCCAATTTATTTAAAAAAAATTTCATAAATTTTTTATTTTGTAATATATGTGAGCTAGTTAAACATAGAAAGAGTTCTTATCATATAAGTAACCATAAAAGTCCTACTTAGAGTACTTCCTTATCTGGTCATAGATGGTTTGTTACTTTCATTAATTGTTGTATTACATTAACATGGATTTATCTGTTGAAAGCAAAAAATGGTGTGTTCTTATACTTTCAATCATTTTATAAAATGATATATATACAGTTTGGTGCTAAAATTAAAATTTTAAAATCAAACAATAATATAGAATATATAGATGGTAGATTCTGTGCCTATTTGGAGTTTAATGGAATAATTCATCAGATGAGTTGCGCCTATACTATTGAATAAAATGATATTACTAAAAAGAAAAAAATAAACATATATTGGAGGTACCTCAGTCTCTTATGTTCACCATGAATTTACTCAAAAGTTACTGAGGAAATACAGTTATTGTAACTACTTACCTTATCAACAGAATGCTTTTGAGATCTCTTGATTTTAGAAGTCTTTTACAAATTTTGCAAGGAAAAAGTTCATATACTATTCCCCAAAGATATTTGGATGTGTTTGTTTTGTTCATACTAGAAATGTGGACAAGTTAGAATTTAGGGCTCTTAAATGTATATTTGTTGGATACTCTCCTACTTAAAAATGTTAGAAATATTATTATCCTCCATTGAAAGATGCTTTGTGATTATGGATATTATTTTTAGACAATCTAAGCCTTATTTCAATCCAAATTCAACACCTCTTCGTAGGGAGAGTGAGAAATAAGAGATTATGCTCAGTTTGTTAACTCTTGACAGTTATATTTAGGGAGAGTTCTAGTTCGGAAGATCTCCTTTAAGGAGATAATATAGGGCGCCTGGATAAACTAGACTTGATGAGGTATTCAAAGAAGAATAAAACAGAGAAAACCATTATATAGTCTGATCCAGGTCAAAAAGTTTTCACAGTTCCTGAGAATATTTGTGAGTTACCTTTATTTTATGATTTATCTGATGATGTGGATAAATCCGTTGCTATTAAAAAAGAGTCAGGTCTTGCACAATGGATAAACCCGTTGTTAACTCTTGACAGTTATTATTTAGAGGAAGTGTTGTAGTTCGAAAGGTCTCATTCAAGGAGATAATGTAGGACACTTGGATAAACTAGACTTGAAGAGGTATTCAAGAAAGAACAAGACAGAGAAAGCCGTTATGCAGTCTGATCCAAGTCAAGATTTTTCTCAGTTTCTGAAAATACTGGTGAGTTCCTTTTATTTTGTGATTTATTTGATGATGTGGATAAACACATTGTTGTTAAAAAAAGAGTTAGGTCTTGCACTGAACACCTTATGTTTAGTTTGATTTCTTGTGACTCTCTATCTCCCTCTTATAGAGTCTTTGTCTTATCTGTTTCCTCTGTGTCTATTCCACAGGATTTGAGAGAAATTCTACGGGATCCCAAATGAAAGGAAAACATGATTGAAGAAATGAAATATTTGACAAAGAATGAAACCTAAAAGTTTGTTTCACCTCCACCGTGAACAAAGATAGTTGGTTATAAATGAGTGTTTACTGTGAAGCACAAAGTAGACGAGTCGATTGAAAGGTTCAAAGTTAGATTGATGGCTAAAAGGTTTGCTTATACTTATGCAGTTGACCATCAAGAGACTTGCACCTATCGTGAAGATGAATAGAATCAAAATACTACTATCTTGTGCAACTAACCTTGATTAAGATTTACAACAGTTTGATGAGTAAAATGCGTCCTCCATTAAGACTTAAAAGAAGAGGTATATATGAAAATTCTTTGTGAATTTATGGATGGAAG